ATAAACTCTTCACAAAACCTGAAAATTAAAACCTCCTTAGATTTAACATTTTAAAGTTTTAATTGGGTGTAAGAAGATGTAAGAACTCGAGAAGATGTAAACACCATGAAGAAAACATAGTGTTCCAATATAACTTGCAGCTAAATAAAGGAAATCTCACATTTTAAAATTTGTCTGACACTCTTGACAGAATCACTCTGACAGCATCTCCATAGGGATAATGATGTTTCTTTTGCAAAGCACTGTGCTCTCTGCAAAGCTGTAAAAGAACTAAGTGTTATTACCAGTGATGGGAAAGGCCTATTAGATCATCTGTCCATTGCTCATGTAACTATAACAGAAAATAACAGTGATTTGCTGCTGTAATTTGACAGTGACTTTTGTAAAAATGTCCTTTCCTCTTAGATCCCTGCAAGTTTCAGTTCCAGAGAATCAGTAAGCTGGGTGGCTCACTAACTTTGTCATAGTCTCTAACTTCTGTGAAGTATACCAAGGTGTTAAATATACGTGTGTTGGGCCCACTTTTCCACCTCCTTCTTTCACCTTTTACTTTTGGATAAGGAAGGAAAGAATAATCCTCATGAAAAGCCCAGTCAAGGTTCACAGAACTGCTTTTTCACTCTCCAGCTGCAGAATGCTTGCCTCTCACCCCTTTCCAAGGCAGCACTGTGCATCTCTCCAGCTTGGGGTTGTGCACCATGTAGGAGTGATGCTGGTGTTTCCCCAGCAGACCTCCCACTCACAAGGCTTGTATAAAATGCACCCAGCATCATCACCCAGTGTGGTATGACCTTGCATCCATCATGTAATCTAACCATGGTGGATGCCTGGTCAGATAATGCAGAGTCTCATGGGATGGCATTTGTGAAAGATCTGCAGAACTCTTGGTGGTGGATACTGTCAGGTCAACAAAGATCTTTCTCCTTACGATATAACACTCTGCTTCTCCACTGCTTTCAAGGGAAAGAATTGTTTCTGCTCTACCTTATATTCTCTAAAATTTCTTGGCATATTTGCTACAACAGGTTTTCAATTTAAGTGCCAATATAACAAAATGTCTGGAGGGAAATCAGCAGAAGTATTCAGAAGATGACTCTCAGTATGATTCACACCGCTGTGAGCAAAGAAGAGGTCTGTCTGGCCTTCTGTACTGGAGTGATAACAGATATTGGATGCAGTGTGTACTCAGATAAAGTTAATAGCAATGACATCTGGTAGATGACAGAGAGGAACAAACTCCTGTGATCTGCTTTTTAACACTCTGTGCCCAAACCATTATATGTCAGACTTGGTAAAAGTGAATAACCTTTCAATATCTACCACTCCTCCCTCCCACACTCTCTGTCAAATGAGACTGAAGGACTACTAGACACAAGGACAGCAGATCTAAAAGGAGTCAAGGAAAAAGGATTCAAGGTATGCAGCTCATTAGAAGTGGCCTCCTCAATATTTAGCAGTCATTGCACATTCCCGAAGCTCTTTTAGAGTCATAACAAATGCTCACACAAAGGCTTCACACAAAGTACCTTCAAAGTACTTCGCCAACATAAATATATTAATAAGACCTTTCCCAGAAGAGAATGCAGTGTCAGAGAGATGCCATTCAAATGGCTAGGCTGTGAGAGATAGAGCTTACATTATTTCATTAAACCTTCATCCTCTGTCTTCAATTTTAAGCCCATTTAGAAAAAAGGACGGATTGTCCAGTGGAGCTTTACGAGCAAAAAGAAAAGTAACTGCTTGTAAAATTGTTTTGACCTCTATGATTGCAGTGGTAATTATATTGCAATTCTGTCATGTGCATCATCTGAATTTGACATAAACTAGAACCGAGATTTTTATATTCACTTTGACTGATGCCACCTAGATAGTTCTTTTAAAGAGACTGCTGACAACTGCCACTGATTCACTTTGGTGTACATCTTGTCTAGGGGTCATAATTAAAACATTAAGGATACCTTGGCAACTTAATTTCAAACCTTTAGAATTATAATTAGCACTTGGTTGCTGAGATCTGACAAACTTGCCTAAGTGTTTTAAGGGCAAGAAAGGAAATAAAGCCTGTCATTCTTCAAATATTGAAAATTGCATGCAGATGCGCTTTCCAAGGAAAAATTCATTACACAATTATAACATGTGTAGTAATCTGCAAAAGATACTTTGTTAGCAATAGAATTACATTTGTCATAAACTTTTTTATGAAATCCAGTTGCTCAGGTTTTAGTTTGTTATTTTAATAAGCCAGACCACCATATCATGTTCATGATCATTACCAAGAGACAAACATGTGTCTACTGCTACACATCTGATATAGATAAACCATGTTAGCCTTCATACACACAGTGTTGTCTTTGCTAATTCTGAAACCAAGGTACTTCTTGGTTGCAGCTGTATCTGTTGTGAATTCTGCAACATCTGTTGCGTCAGATGACAATCAGTTTATGCAGATACAAGCTCTCCCATCCCTACTTATTACCATTTAAAAGACACTAGAATTTGCTTAGAATCTTTGCTGTGGAGCAGCGACTGGAACATCAAAGATGGTAAGGTCCTTGAATCAAATATGGAATATGAAACACAACTCCTAAACTGCTGACAGACGCACCTCTCCTGGTTCTTGGTAGAGATTTCTCTTCCAAATTGGGCCAAGCAATAATTTGAATCTGGCTCAACATATATATGACAGAAGTAGAGATTCCATAATGGAGCAGAAGTAAGTTTGGATTAAATACACTTGGTAAGGAATAAGTGGTTTTTGTAGGATCACTTTTTGTTTGTACAGCGAGCTTATGAGCTGTTACAAACCAGATATACATAGTATATAGAAAACTAAGGTTAAAACGTCTCCATATACCCCAGGTTATGTTATTTTTCCATATTGATTAGATACCTTGCATGCTGGAGCATCGAAATGCAAAAATAAAACATGAGATCTCCTGCAGTATGAAAATATTTAAGGAGCTGGTGTAAGCACAGTTTTTCATGATGCTTTCATATCATCATATTGCCTAGCTCCTTATAAATAAAATGGCCATGCTTTGGTGGCAACTTCAAAAAGGTTCCATCAAAAAAGAATAAAAATAAGTTTTTTTCTGCATAAACAGTACCTGAAATTTGAAGAAAGGTGAGGGCAACCTAGATTTCATCTCTACAGCAAACTATTCAAAGCTCTTGCAATACTCATTAAATGTCCAAATACTTCCAGAATTATGTATTTTATTTACCTCCTTCTTTTTTAATAAATAGTATTTTCCAAATCAGAATGCATTTCTGGAAGTAGCTCACATGCTCAGTATCTATTTCAAGCAAGTTTTAATCATATAGTATTAATCATATAAGTATAAACATAAAGTATTAGCAGGGTATGAATTTTATGAAAGCAACCAAGTGACTGCATCAGGTCTTACTGGGGATGTTAGCTAGAACACTTAAGAAGCAACTTTCTATGCAATAAAGCAGATGAAACCCTAATCTGTAACATGTTATCTGTAAGCTGCATACAGGGATATCATTGTTTATGTTCTAAAAGATTAAACTTATACTACAAAGGCAAAAGTGACAATTCCTTTTTGAATAGTGTTTGGCTTATTCTATGTGTTTCGAAACAGAAAAGCATGAAACAATTTGAAATCACACACAGTAGTGTAATAGAAGACCAATTTGTTACTTAATAAAATTTGGAAGGATTAATACAGTCAGGTTTCCCATTTTCAGCTTTCTAGCATGCTGAGTGCTTAAAAGAACAGGTCCCTTGAACTACAAACTTCCTTTATCTCTTTTTTTCATTTTCATATTTAACTCTCAAGAGTGGAAGAAAAATGCCCCACATAGCAGGGCACTGATGTCACCTGAAGAAAGAGAGCCCTGCAAATACTGCCACTATGAAACAATGACGTGCACAACAATCTCAGTGTAGCAGTGGCTTTCAAATCAGCAAGAAGTTGAAGAAAGCCATCTGAAAATACAGTCTTTAAAACAAACACTGAAAAAGGCAAGACTGAAATGTACCATTTTTGAAAATCTGGGAAGGCTGCATTGGCTCTGCATTTGCTGCTGTTTTCACCACTTTTAGTCTAAATCAATACTCAGGTTTTCATCACTCGTAGAAGGAAAGATTTCATTTAGAGATTGTCCCTTTAATCACAGAAACTAAGATTTGAATCTAAAGCACTTTATTAGCTAAATTAGATGAAACTCAGAATTAGAGAATCAGAAATTAGAGAAACTCAGACGCACGATTACTTCTCCTCCCACCAGAGAATTAAAGCATGCTATTCACTCTGAGTGGGCAAGTACTGTCTATCAATCAAAAGGAAAAATAATGTAAAAAATGAATACAAAATGATCTTACAATAAGCAAAAAGTTGGATGTATCAGTGTGAACAGTCTCACAGGATGCACAATCTGGTGATAAAATATTACTAAGAAGTGTTTTGTGTACATGTAGCACTATACCTAATACATAATGAATCCAAGGGATGTTAACGAGAGGAAAATAAAAAAGGTAATAAATATTTGAGTAAGATGCGATTTCAAGGTTTCTGTAAAATTCGTAATTCTAATCAAAGGATATTATTACATAGCAGTTCAATAAAACTAAGATATTTCAATGAAATCCTACCATTATCATCATGCACAATATCTTGAGATGAAAACTCTGAGAACCACCAAGAAACCTAAATGCATACCACTTATAATGCAAATGCAAATTCTACATACCCAAAATGCAGCAATTCAAGAAAATGTCAAACTCACAAAAACATTTTTAATATGTTGCATAAAGTATCAAAAAGACTGATTGAATTAGCAGAGGAGAATGTCGCATTCAGTGAGTATTGGAAAAGATGCTTATCAAAAATTTATCAGGCAAAGTAAGTCTGAGAAATGCTGATAACAGATTGGAGCTGTCTCGGCAAAAAAAATAAAGGTTGCTAGTTTGTCTGCTTCTCTAGGTAAGCATAAAAGTCTTCTGGGAGGAAAAAAAGTTTGATTTTTCTTACCTCTTCTTTCTCTGCACTTTGCAAGTCCCTCCACTCCTCAGTGACATGACCGAAGTCCACTGTGTTCATTGCAACTTTATATTCCCCAATGATATCATGTTTGGAGAAACGATCGAAGTCATAAACTGCCATCACTAAAGTTTTTCCACCCAGCTCAGAGTATGGCACCTGCAAAGACAAGAAAATGACAAACTCTTCATCTGAGACAATAAAGATTGGTCCACTAGAATGCAAATCTATTTCTTTGGTTTATCAGCTGTCATCTTGGGTAAATTGAACTGCAGAGAAAATTATGAGGTGTATTTGTTTCAGAGTCACCAGATGCAGTATTTCTTGAGACAAGGCTCTGGCACTCAATAGAACAATGTGGCAGCTCGCTCATCACTCCTGGGTTTTTCTCATTCTACTTCAAATCATTTTGTGGGTGATGAAACTGAAACAAGAAGCCAAATTACTTGCACTGAAGACACATGAACTTTTCACACAATGGTGTTTTTTCCTCAATAAATCACCTGTCATCACTCAGAGATGGCTAGCTCCCAGACTGATGAAAAAACCAGCACTGGCTTACTATATATGACACAAAGCAATTAGACACTGGATAGGTCTCTTACAGTACCAATACCTATTACTTACCAAGGCATATTTTTCATACATACACCTTTCACATGTTAGACACTAAGGTGCTTCTTAAGTCACAATGCATAACTAGAAATCGTGGTGGCAGAAGGCCAAGTTCTGACTAATTCTCCAGCTGTTCTAATGTGTTCAGACAGATGCTGTGGTTTATGAGCCACATTTTTAATATTCAGATGGAGACATGCAGCTCAGGTAAGCTACACCTGAGTGGCTGTCTGAAAAGGTCCGATTTAGGAATTGTTTGGATTTATGTGAACACTTGGTCAATCTGAGAATATTCTGCAAATATAAATGGTTTTCATGGATTCAATAAATACTTCTTTATTAATTAGAAAGTGAAAGCATGGCATTACCATTGGCCTTGTTAACCTCTATGTTCTTGTCTGCTTAAACCCTAGGAATATTATCTTTTGTTACTGTTCAGCTTCCACTTGCTTCTTAAAATACTAATAAGTAGTAATTTTTCCTTTACATAACATCTTATATAACATTTAAAATAAGCTTATCAAGTTGAGAGCCAGATCTAGCTTCCATTACCGAGTGAAATCGTTTCAGTGGTACATGGCTGTGTACCTTAGTCAATACTGCAGCAAAACCTATTTTTCATTCTCTAAATTATCTATAGCTTCTAAAATGCTAGAAAGGACAAATGTGTGTGAAAGGAAAAATTATAAATAATGCTAGTTTTATTTTTACACAGCCTCAAAAACAGGAGAAGAAAAATGTTCTAGTTTATTTCTCAGTTTCCAATACCATTTAATGGATCCTGGTAACGTGGAACACAAAGACTAGATTCATCATTATTTACTTTTCTGTACTTGAACTCAGTAAAGCTCGTTTTAGCTACCTCTCTTCCTAAATGTTTCCTTCATTTATTACTTTTAATGTAGCCTCAGTCTCCAGCTTTGTTCTGGACTATCAAGGATGGCCTCAGCTCTTGTGAAGAGCTGCTCCTTCCCCCTGCTTTGTGCTCAGACACAATCAGTCTGTTGACATAAAGCAAGTGAGACCTCGGTAAAAGGACACGTATACAGGAGCGTTTTTCTGGCACAGACGTGTCACTCTAGACATGGACCCTGTTCCCACTTTGGATCCGTGGAGGAACACCTCCCTTTGCCAGGCTGGTTAGTGCAGCTAGGAATTCTCGGTTCCTTTGGGCACTGCAGAGTGGGTATACAATTCAGACAGCTGCAGTCTGACAAACACTTGCACCCTGGAACAGCACCATGGATGTCCAGGAGAAAGAAATGAAAAAGGGAAGGACTGAGGTTCAGGGCTCAAGAAGCAATACAGCAGAAACACAAGTCAGCTCATTCCCACGAGCCGTACTTTGGGAGGAAGGCAGGCAGCTCGCAGCTGTGCCCTGTGAGAAGGCAGCAGCACGGGCCTGGGCTGCCTGGTGGGCAGCACTGCCAGAGAGATGGGAAGGTTGCCAAGAGAAGCTGTGCACCACCTGAAGTGGGTCACAGGAGCAAAGCTCTGCACAAGTAAATGAGATACTGTCAACAGTTCCCACAGAAGCTGCTATTATAGTTGCAGTTCCAGTTAAATGGTCACTGTAGTCCTCAGAACAATGACAGTACTTGGCATGCTCTGCTGGTTTTCTCTCAAGTGCAGACCACAGACCACAGGGAATGATCAGTACCATATTGAGATGCACCTAAACACTCTGTCAGGTCTGGCATGAAAAACAAACTATTTTCTGGAGCATAAAATTTAAATATTAAAGATGTGACTTACAACAAGTGGACATTATAGCCCAGAAGTGGCTGATCTGATTTATAACTTGTGTCTTCCTCTTAGATGACAGCATTATTTGTTCCTTCTTTGCTTTTGTGAGCTGCATGGGAATATGTAATTTAGAACTCTGTTTTCTTTTAAATACTCTCTTAGGAAAGCTCGAGAAAGAAATAACTCCCCACAAAAGATTACTTTTATGAACATCTTCAAGGAAAAAATAAGCTTATATATACAGTAGTAGTTGTGGCCTACAGGGATATCTCTCTCATTGAATGATTGCATAGCCTGAGTCTTTCACTGCTCCTGTTTTCAATCTGTAGCTATCATTATAAGACTGGGCACAAAGAGAAAGGCCTGAAGTAACAGCAGAGGAATGTATATAAGGAGAAACCCTGTGAAACATGCTGTACTCCTTTATTCTATTTAACTGGGGTTTGAATTCAGCTACAGTTTTAGATAAACGATATTAATAGATACTACTGGAATGATGTAAATACTCTAATGTAAGGTTTACCTAAATTTATTTAATTCATATTTTATTAGACCTGAGACACAATTTCTTTTCATACATAAAGTAGCATGGAAAAGAACTGCTATGACAAAGTCTAACAAGATTAATCTGCCATATTTGCTTTCACCTATTTACTTCCCTTGAATTTTAACTTATATTTCAGGAAATGTTAACCTGAATTTCATAAATCAGACTACAAAGTTATTTAAAGAAAACACTGGTCTAGTGAAATTTACGTTAACATTTGTCAAAGTGTCACTGTTTTCTGAATTTCTTGTATGTTTTATCCAGCCATAAAATGATCAGATTGTCATCTATGAGAATAACCAAAGTGCCTAAAATCAAACTGTGCCTTTTAAACCTATCTGACCCTGTATTACAGCAAGATTGAGTATAATGGCTTTCTACAACATGAAAAATAATTTTGCTGCAGTTATCATTTAACTAAGACATCTAAATTCATAGCCAAGCATGAAATACAAAGTGGTTAAATTAAGAAGTATCAATAGTTATCAAAAAACTACCTTGAATGTAAATTGCTCATTGAAAACAGGGTTAAGGGTCTTTCTGTGGACTTTTGTCTCATATTTCTTCTTCTTATCAGGCAGCAGGAAGACTTTCACATAGGGATCAGATGTACCACCCATATCTAATGCAGGCAGCTCAGCTGCTTGAATAATCCCAACCAGAAGCTGAAAAGAGAGAAAAACAGCAGAATGAAATTTCAAATAGATATTTATAAAAATACTGTAACAGAGGAATGCATATGCAAACTCTATTTCTGGTCTAGGAGAAACTATACTTCCCCCACTTCTCCCCCCACTTAAGGAAGGCAAATGTAGCAACACTATTGACTTTAGAAAACCAATTATAGCAGATGCAGACTGTACAAAGGCTGTTTTAAAGCAGAAAAGAGGTTTTCAAAGGGCAGCTGATTACAGCTAAATAGAGACTTCTTCCTTTTAAAGACTGCAATCAAATAACTTTCAATTGCTCTCTCCTCTTGTACATTATTTTTCTATGCTGAGCACCATGAATAGGAATCACATTATTAAACAATCAAGAATGTCTAATTTTGACTACAAAATTTGTATTCTAAACCCCCAACACATAACCTTCCCCCAGCCAAACACAAAAGGTGATAAAATCAAATGCAAATCCTCAGGCAGAGCTTTAATGAAAACAAATGAATCTTGCAGTCTTCTATTTACGTTCTCTTGCTATGTACATGAATAGGCCCAGGCAGTAAACTAAGGACAGCATTTTCAAAAAATATCTCATGAAAATGAACCTTTGGTAACTAAATCCTAATAACAATATGTAATCTCATTGCAAAACAGAAAAATTAGATTTTTAAATCTCTTATACACTTTGAAGATTAGACTGAAGCACAGATGGAACTTGTAAATGTCTTGGCTGATTTTTATGTGTTATAATTGAAGGTTTATGCTGTGTTATGTTATGTCATGTAATGTCATGTAATGTCATGTCTTCTAGACACCCCAGACTGTATGAGGCCTCATCAGCATAATGGAGCTGAGAAAAAAAAATACTTTTAATCTTGCTTCATAGATACAAAACTAAAGTAAACATTGAAGTGTTTCTTCAAGGTCATTCTGAAGATATTAGGAACTGGGAATGAAATCTGAGAAGACTTTCTTCTAAATCAGTGCTTCAATATATTCAATATATTTGCTTCTCTCATGGACGAATTGTTTAAAATTGGAAACAGGAACTCTAACAATTGGAGTACAGAAAAATATAGTCAATCTGTGAAAGAAACTTCTGGCTTCTAAGAGACTCCTCAAAGTTGGACTTAAAAGTTGGACAGTTTTAAGTTCACAGTATGGCCTACATGCTTTCCCACTGATAGGACTCAAGCCCCAGGAAACATTTCCCTTTTGCTGTATGAAACACTTCTCCTTTTGGATCTCATTTCTATTCTAAATGCATAACAGTTCATAAATACATGAATAGGCTCAGGATCTACATCAAGTTTTTCACATCAAAGAGTGAAAAACAAGTCTATGATTTTTAGTTAACAGAGTGGAAAAGTAATTCAATTCGCCTTTACAATTTCTCTGTCTAAAACTGAGGCATAGTGCTTTGAAGAGTTCATTGGTCATCTTGTATTCTTAACTCTGAGCAATATATTAGCCAAATTTTGGGACTGTAGTTTCATGCCATTGCAGTATACTAATGTAATTGAATCCCCTCTCCTACTGTTTTATATCATCTATCCTTTGACAAATTTCAAGCTGCAACATAGTTTAGAGCAGCAAAACAAAATGGAAATCCACAACTCAGACAATTTATTACCTTAATTAAATACAATATAGACTTACAGATTTGTGGCTCCTCCATCCTATTTTCCTTTGTAAAATATGGTTCATAAAATCAACATTCCCTTTAATAAAATTCACACAGAAAATTTGTTTTCATAGTCTAAGGAAACTGAAATCCATTTTTCAGAACACATTTCCAGCTTTTCCTCTTCTCCTCTTTAAATCTTCTGCTTGTGAAGGGTCTACATGATTTCATACTGATTTCAAGGGGGATCAGTGTGACTCACCACATGGTCAGGCAGCTTGCTCTGGGAGCTGAGGAAAAGCTCCTTTAACAACAATTTCTTAAAAGGCTTATGAACCCTTTTTAGCTCTTTCATTGGAAAACAAGCACTGTTAATCAGAAGACCATTGAAAATTCAGGCAAATACTACTTATTATGCAGGTCATAGCTGTGTATAAATACCTTCCTGCTAACAGAGAATTTTTTTTTTAATTTCCCTTAATTTAATTAAGGGATTTACCTTCAGTAGTCATTTCTTTCCTTAAACAGAAAAGAATTATGTGATTTTGACTGAAATCGTCAAAAAAATAAATGCAGGATATGTGTTCTCAAGTTTACTAAAACATGGACATTAGAAGTGAAGAACTCAGATGAGTTGTATGTGTTGGGCCAAAATTAAGCACAGTGAATTTTAATGTGAGGCTGTGAATTGGTTTAATTGACAAAACCGATCCCTGGCAAAGAGACCAGGGAGGGGAATAAAATATATGCTAGTTCAGCACGTGGCCAGACCTGTTAAGTTGGTCAATTCTAGGTCTACATATTATAGTGTCTATTAATTCTGAAAACTTGGTAAGTATGCCAAAGTTTAGTCTTACCAGCTTCAGAGCAGAGTACTGAAGGAGTCCCAGTCCTTACAGTCTTGTTTTTTTGGGGTGCAGACCTTTTTATTTGAACTTGCATTCGAGACTAGAATTTTAGGAAGTGTACTCTCATGGAGAGCAACAGAACCCGATGCAGCTACAGCAAAAGCCCACACTTGATAAAGTGAGAGAAGTCAATTTTACCAACCTTCTAAAAGACCCAGAGAGTCAACTTGCCTTTACATCCCTCTATTTTCCCTCCCATTTCTGTCTGCTTACATTTTAAATACTTGAAGGCTGAAGCTACATTTTAGTGACTGCATGCAAACCCTGTAATTTATGTGGATTGACATTGGTTGGTGATGCTTTAATTTAAGTTGTTAATAGTCATTAGATAAAACTGAATCCTCAGTTTTTGATTAAAGGTGTAATATAAAGTCCAAGTGCATACCAATTTAGTAGTACCTCTGTAATGAATTTTTTGTCTTATTTTCTCCCTTTACTCCATGAGAGTAGTAAGGATTTCAGAAATATCTGCTTCAACTAAATGTATTCATTCTCCACTTGCACACACAGAAACGAAATGTTACAGGTTGGTTGTTTCAAACCTGATTGTTCTGGAAGTCATAATCCAAAGAGTATTGTATTTTCCCTAGCTTCTCAACTTCTTTAGCTTCTTCCTTCTCTTCCCCATCAGTCAGCCCAGTCTCAGCATCATCATCCTTAAGAGCCTAGAAAGAAGAAATGTAAAATTCATAAATGAGGCAAACCTTTAAGTAGCAGTTTAAAATAGACATGAGCTTCAAATCTATTTTAGAGCAATTAACAGCAAGCATAACAGCAGAAATTCAAATATGCAGTTTTCATATATATCTCTACTTTCTGAGTTGCTCAGTAAGATGTTAAAAATCAGCAAGCAAGCAATGGAAGTAGGAAGAAAGCTCCTTGGACTATAACAAGCACAAATTGTTATAAAACCTGAAAGTAGAAACAAAATATCATCTCGATGTGAAAAAATAGTTCTTCTGGGATCAGACTGGCTCTCAAAGAAGCACAAGGAGGCAAACATGCTATTAAATAAGCAAAGTCACGCATTCATTCAACTTAAGAATCTTGGCAATGTCAAACCTGGTTGTACATGCTGTGCATTGTTTACATTCGGCAACACATTTCTGTAGGACTACTGTGATAAAGAGCATGTGCTGTGGATGAGCTCTCTCTACAATCATATGCCAAACATTTTTCATGTTTTTTTAGAATGAATATGGAAGCAAAGTTTCCACCATGCCATTAGCAAATGCATGTTCCTCCTTTTCCCTCCCTCCCGAGACCAATTTCCTTTTTATTCATTCTCGCAATAAAGCTTGGCTGAACCAAATTGATTGCAAGTTGATTTTAGTTTGCTTAGAAAGAAACACAAAAATAAAGAAATACAGAACTGGTCGCAAGCTTTGTCTATTGCATAAAACCTTTTTTTTTAAAGGACACAGCAGTTAGATTTTATACATAATTAAAAATACTAAAATACTAAATTATATATAAATATATTTTTAATATGTAATTAAAATACTAAATTGTGTAATTTTTTTTCCTGTACCAGAAAGCAGAAGTATTTTTACTGTGTAAAAGGTAATTCATACAATTATTAAACCATATGAACCATAATTAACTACATAGATCTTATTCCAGCAGATTCTTTTCTGCATAAGAAGTGAAAAATAGACAAAAGTGATGAGGCAAGTAGTGAAAAATTGTGGAAAATGTGAAAGCAAAGTTGAGAGTGTGAAAAGAAAGAATCAATACTGAACATTCATCCAGAATTGTTATCTGCATGTTACAGCAAACAGTATACTTGTCTGTTAGAGCCCCATCTGAATGAAGGTTCTTTCCATATGAAGCTTCTGCTCCCACAGACAGACAAAGTGCCAGAACAAGATGTATTCTTTGTTGCAATGCAATTTTTCTGCAATTTTAGTTTTTTTGTGTTGTAGGAAACCTACAGCATTTCTTAACAATAGGTTGCTGCTGGAGCTCTCTGAAAAAGTAGCAAGGCTTGAGAGTAGCTATATACACAGATGACAGCAGTTTGGGAAAGATGAAACATGAAAGCATTAACATTCTCACTCAGCCTTGAACACAGTGAGGGCCACACAACAGTTGTGTGGGATTGGAAAGAAGGAAGATTCATCTCTGAAGTAGAAAATGTTCCCCTCCAGAAGCCAGATCTAAATTCAAAAGGTCAGACTTGAAACTGTATGATACTTATACAATTACTTCTCTACTTTTGAAATTAGCTAGAAATTCTGTTGTCATAGCTCAAATGAAACCAATCCAACAGCTTTGATTTTTGCGAGATGAGAAGCTGGGTCTCAAGTAAATATCTGAATGTTAGTGAATGATGGACTCTCTGCTAGAAACATAAATTACATTATACCTGGATGAGATTGGTGGGAAAGGTCAGTGATGGATAGAATCACCTGTGAGACTGGAAGAGTAGTATTTTTTAAACTAAACTATTTCTATTTGGAAGGGCTGAACTGCCTGAAATGAAATTTGGTTTGAGACATTTTATCACTGAGCTCTTAGTAAGTTCCTGACTGTAGCTCAACATTTTTGTTAGTACAAGAAGTGTGACGCTTGAAAACTGACAGGCTCTCTGGAGACTGTACATGGGATTTGCAGGATATGGAGTGATATGATTATGCCAAATACTCTTGCTTCTGGTAATAAAAATAAGCTTAAGGTTTTGTGATCATAAAAAGAGATGTGACTCAATCCATCTGAAGCAACCAGGTTTATTTGAGCCTGGAGACAACAGGAAATAGTAAGTCAGAGTGGGATGTTAACTCCAACATCCACTGCTCTGAATCATCCCAGTATGGTACTAAAAGAGGACTCCACGATAAAAGCGTGATATACAGCTCCAGTACATTAGTGTTTCTAGGACAAATACTGGACTTTCTGTTTCTCTATCTCCTTTTGACCTCAATTTTCTTTGAGAGGAAATATCCTGTGGCCATTCCCCAAGGAGAAAAGTGAGAATGCAAAAAGAACCTTACATGCTAATTTCCAAGTAAGAGGAATTTGTAAACAGTCCCTCCAGGCAGTAGTTTCTTCAGTCCATACTTTCTCTGGGAAAACTACATTCTCTTCTGCAAAACTGTTCAGTCCAGATGACAGAGCTGTGGGTAGCTCAATGTGAAAAAAGTTCTTACTGTGACTACAGAAAGTGTAATGGGAAGCTAACATCTCTCTTGCAAGGGAGCTTTGACGTGCGGGCAGAAAACACTGTATGGTTAAGAAACTCATCTCCACAGGTTACAAGAAACCTACTGGAAAGGTGAAAGCTATTTCCATGAGAGATGGAAAACATTGTACATGACTGACATCAGCTGAGGAGCTACACGATTCTTCTTGACCTTGACTCAGAAACACTGAAGCACTAAGAAAAAACACTAAGAAAGAAATAATGTTTGGATATGGACAAGTTTGTGGCACTGGGGGGAGGAAAAAAAAGACAAATTATTATCTCTACAGCAGTCTGTAAATAATAGTGTTTACTGTTAAGAGAGGAATTTGCTTTCAAACTAGAGGCTAATGCTTCAGGAAGAAGCTGAGTCAAAAGAGGCACCAGTTTCTCATGTTTGATTTAGCTGCTGAGTTCCAGAGAGGAAGAAGAATTGGTTTCCTTCAAAGTACTTGAAACACCCCAGAGAGATTTTAATTTTGTATTTGTGAGATTTTGTGAGATTTGAGATTTGAGAATTTTGTGAGATTCTATGAAAGATCAATATTTAATGGAATACCACTACAATTTACAGCATACTGCATCACACTGTATTGAATCTTACAGTTGCATTGCTACAATCAATTAAAATAAGTAGCTATATTTTATTTGTTTTATAAACAATAAAATATTTGTAATTATAAGCAAGTTTCTTCATCAAGCCTTTTCAACTGATAAACTGTATTGAGAAAGACTGGATTTAGATGCAAAGAATTCAGAATGTAGGCCTTGTCTTCTCTAACATTTTCTTTAACCTCATGACATTTTATATGTTTTTTTCTGTGAAATATCCAACATGGAAATGCATAATTGCATTGTGCTGGAGACTGGATTTATCTTTTCTAGTTTGAGATGACCATGAATTTTACTCAAGTAGTTTCTTCATTTCTGCATTACAGATGCAGAAACATGCAACAGTGAAATGTCTACGCCCTCTCAAATGTGTACAAGTATCTGAAAAATAGGCTTATATGTAAGCAGGTGTAGGAATGTACCAAGAAAGTGTTAATCCAGTACAAACATTTCAAGGTGATACATCTGTGTCTACTGAAATCAGAACCACTACTCTGCAGTAGTAATTCTTACAACAAAAAAGGCTAAATTACAGCAATTTGAGATCCACTGTTGAATCTGCTGGTTGCATCTTCACTTCCACAGTGTTATTAAGAGTGGTTTTGCAGCCTCCTCTTTTCTTCTGAGTTGTTAAAGAAAATGCTTAATTTTCAATTCTTTTGAAACTCCACACCCTGTAGTGGGTTTTTATCTTCCTGGGTTTTTTCTCCCTCTTATTCCCCTAGCTGACAAAAGCCTCTCTCCAGAGAGACTGCATCCTGACACTGCAAACATCCCTTGCTTTGAGCTCAGTTCCACTGAAACCCCCACACCTTACCACTGGCTTTGCCCCACTACTATCAACCACAAACCACAAAAGAGATTCTGGGGCTTAAAACAACTTTAATCCTTCCCCAAACTACATGTAGAAAATGAGAGGGCCTGCAAGGGCAGTTGCTCTGCTGGTGGCCTCCAGATTCCAGATGTTCAGAAGCTTCAGGAAAGCAAAATGATGGCAGACTCAGGTAACAAAGCTGCTGGGGGAGCAAGTGTACTTGCCACTGTACTGACAGGCAGAGGTCACAGTCGCGACTGAGTCACGTCCTGTTAATGACAAGTTTATGTTGCAAACCATTTAAAATGCAAAGTGTCTTTCACTTTTGTATATAGAGAAATACTTTCATTAACAGAATTTTTAGGGTTCCTTCCTGTTCATGGGGTGGCCTGCAGCCTCACTTTTAAGGAAACAAGTTACCATTAAGAAAGGAAGAGAGACATTGGGAAGCAAAACAAAACACTGACTGCAGCATCTAAGTGTTTGCTGCATGGTGCAGGCTGCTGTCCTGATTACCAAATCCACCTGCCCTTCCATCATTTCTTTTGGAATGGTGAAGAAAATATTGTTTTAGTGCTTGAACGATGCCCAGTCCCTCAGGCTTGTGCAATGGCTGGTGAGATGAAAAAAGAAAGCAGTAAGATCTTGTAGAAAGAATGTTCTGTGCCATGTCCAACAATGAATTTATTGGAAAGGCAATTTTTCTTCCACAACTAGAAATGACTACTAATGGTGGTGCACCTCTTACAATATCTTTCCCATTCAAGAACACCATAATATTGATCTGGCCAATTTTTATCCCAAGGGAAAACAAAAGCCTGTAAAAATTTCTGCCTGGTTCCCTGTCACAAAGCAGACAAGCCTGCAATTGTAACATGTTCTCTATCAGAGTCCCTCAGAAGGAAAGGCAGCATTTCATTCATTCAGCATCTGCTTTCTCTCCATGAATTAATTTAAAGAGCATGTTGCGCCTGGGTTTCCAGTGGCTGCGCCAGCCTTTGGTCATTGTGCAATCTACTTTGTCATTACTGCTGTAAGAATGTTGGCCTCACATACCA